GAATATTTGGACAGTCATTAGAATGTTGAGTAAAACCTGCATGGATTTGATGCTAACAGATTCATGGTATTTGGTCATTTTTTTATTGTAATAAAATAATTTCATAATCTTGATTATTTTAATGTATTCAACTAGAGATGGTAATCTTAGCCCATCTTGATTGTCACTATTTGGCAAAAATAAAAACTTTGAATAGTGATTTTTTGGAGTAAGTATAGTTAAAGAATAGAAAAAGGTTTTGAGTTTATATGCTAAATATTTTATTATCTGAATGTATGATTAAAAATGAATATGTAAAATAAAGAGTTTTGAAATAATGACTATCAAATAGAGGCCTAGTCCAATCTTCTTATGAAAAAAATTTATTGACGAATAATCTTGGTAAACTTACGGTTCGTTTCTCCGGACATTTAATTTTGTTTTTGCTTCTTGTATAAAAGTTTTACCAGTTTATGAGAAAATTACATAAGCTTAACTTCTCAATATATGTTTAAAAGTAGCTCTTTAGTCCTTCCCTGAGCTGCTGAGGGGTCGGAGGTTCAGGAACGAGGATATAGTCTGGCGCAAGCTGGGACACCTCGTTAAAAAAAAAAAAAAAAAAAAAAAAAAAAAAGTAGCTCTTTAGTCTCTCAAACAACTTTTCACTTTTTCAAAAATTTTACCAAATAAATCCTTATTCACGAGAAACTCACACATATCACCTACTAATCTTACAAATTTTCAAATTCCAAGCTTCACATGAATAAGGAGTAATTATAACATGTCTACACCATTGGATGTTCAAAATTAATATAGACTATTTAAAAATTGAATAATCTTAAAATTTCAAGTTAGTTGTAGGTGTAAATCCCTCTATCGACAACTTTATCAATTTCCTTGCATCGTTTTTTTTCCTAAGTTTTCAAGACTTCTGATTCTTCAATGTCTCTTTTGTGTAGTCTGATATGATATGTTAAAAGCCAGTCTTCAAACGCGTTTGATAACACTTTTGAAAAATAAAAGATCGCTTCTTCAAGTACTAAAAACCCGCTCTTGGACCTATTTGAGTGTTTTTTTGGAAGTTTTATTTTGTCAAGTTACAATTGTTTTTAGAGAAAGCTGGTCAAAATAAATTTTTCAAGAAACTCTTTTATGAAAAATAGAGCAGAAATTTTGTCAAACGAGGTCTTCATAACCACATCTTCTTAATTCCTTATAGAGTGCCTTCGGTAGTCACATGAATCTACGCCTAGAGTAGAACACTCAATTTGCAAGGTTGTTAAACATGTTGTCGAATTTATAACTGGCTTGTCACGTATTACACCGAGTATGTGACATTAAAATATAATTTAAGACCTTCGTAATTAGGCGGTATAAATATGATTACAAGTCCTATGATGCCATTGAGCACTCATTGTCACAACTTACAAGACAGGTTCAAGTGACATAATAAACAAAATTAAATAGCTTAATTTCTATATTAAGCTAGTTAATCCACTTGTATTTATTGAACCTAAAAATGTAAAAAAGCATATCTATCACTTTCTGATTAATAAAAGGTGCTTGAATCTTCTCACAAATACAGCCCTGTAATTAGTCAGCCATATCATTATGGGACTTAATCTTCAATTAACAATTTGATGATAGATTAAATCACAATAATTTTACAGTAACTGACATAATCCGCCTGATAAACTTTCTAATTTATGTAAAAGCCCTAAACAAAATACTAATTTCCAATTTGAAGGATTAACCATTTTTGGTCAATGCCCCAACTTGCGAGTGATTACTATTCATTATCAAATTTTGTCATGAAAATTAATTACGATTTGTACAGAAAAAAATGTTCACTATTGATTTGTACTGGATCAAAAGGGTCGAATCCTTCCACAATTTCACTCCCCATGCTAGATTGACACATTGTTCTAGATGATCGTAAAAATTACATATCAAACGAAGGAGGATTAAATTAAGAAATGTTTGAAAATGAAGGTCCTCATATCAAACGACCATAATTAATTATAAATTTTCCTTTAAAAAACAATTATTCAAGCCAAATTGACAATGTCAACTTATATGCAAAATTTGGTGGGACCAACAAAATCCAGAGCTGGTGTATGTGCGTATGTCACTAATCAACATGTCACCAATCAACATTCAACAATGCGATATATAAGCAATTTATAATCCATACGCATGGCTAAGCTTAAAATGCTTTTTATAAGTCAATTTATTAAGGCCCTGTTTGGCACTCATTTTTATCAAAATGCATTTTTCTCTCTCTTCTTTTCAACCACACATTCTTTATTAAAATAATATTATACGAAAATCAAAAACTTTTTTTATTTTTCAACCACACATTTCTCATCAATTTACTATTCAAAAATGCATTTTCACATAAAAATTCCTACCAAACACCCTCTAAATATCTCTGTGAAAGTCAAAATAAATAATTAAATTATTTATCTTGATAGTAAAACACAAGTCGAGACAAGCAATTTTTTCTATTTAAAAGAAAAAAAAAGCA